CACGGCAGAGGGGCAACAGTTCACAGTGGACCAGACCAATGGTAGCAAAGCATCAAAGGACCTTAACAGCGTCTTTCTGGCCCTTTTATCTTATTTAGACTACCTGGGGCAGGCAGCACTCACACCCTTAATCCTAGTGCTCTGGGGCCTAGCATTGCACCCTGAATCACACACTCTACATTTAGCCACCTCCAAAATAGCCCCACCTCATTCACATGAGGCTTGGGGGGACACCTAAACACAAGCCCCAACACCTGCTGAGATGCAGGTGCCCGTGGCTTCCCAGTCAGGCCTTCACTGCTCTCCCAAGAGGCAGTGTGGTGTTGGGGCTGCGGTCATGCTCCGTATGTGAATCCCAACTTCTTTGCGGATTGTATGGTGATCTGGGACAAGTTACTCAGGTTCCCTGTGCCTCAAATGCCCCATCAGTAAAACTCGGGTAATATAAGAGCACCTGCCCTGTCCGACTGGCATGGCTAGGGCTCTACCAGCCCTGCCTATCAAAGCACAGTTGCTGCCCCTGCCCGGTGCCTCTTTGGCTTACTGTCCGCGAGTCCTCACTGGGCCCGTTCACCTGTGGGACTGGTCACTATTTTTCTAAATTCGCAAGACAGCAGGGACTTCCCATTTGCTTCTCCTCCACCACTGCTCATACCTTACAAATGGCTTTTATTTAAATGTTCGTTGTATAATGCATGAAATCGTGAAAGCATAAAGTTGAGTTTTTCCTTTTTTTTAAAGATACAGCAATGATGAGGAAGGTCTCCATAGCAACAAACTGGAAACACTGAACATGTGACATTTCAAAGGTCATGGGCACTGCCAGGCCACCCTTTCAAGATCAAAGTTGTGGCTCTTTATATACAACAAAGGGTATGGGCTTGCAGGAATGGACTGCCACCCTCCAGGACAGGCAGGCAGGAGCCACGGCTGCGTGAAGGCTGAGGGTCACTGGGGGCCTGGCTGAGGAAGAGAAAGCGAGCTCCGAATACTGACGCTGCACACACAGCCTCCCGGTCTGCACAGGGGGAGCTGAGTGGGCTGCTGCACTGTGGCTCCAACCAGTCTCTCTGAGGAAAGCCAGTCTTCCCCTCCTCTGCAGTCGGACATGCTGAGCCACCAGCCACAGAACCACAGGGAAACGCACCAGGTAGACACAGGCCCACCTCTCTCACAGCCTGCGCACTGCTGCCTTTCCTGCTGCATTTACCTGCCGGGGTGGGGATGGGAGCTGCCTCTCTGCTTCACTAGGGCAAATCCTAGGTGGAAAGCAGACCTTGCAAAGCACATGCTTTCAACTTGTATGCTGCCTGCCTACTTCTCCTTGGAGTCCTGGTTTTTGTTTTATTCTACAGTATTGGGAATTGAACACTGGGCTACATCCCCCGCCCTGTTATTTTTTATTTTGGGACAGGGTCTTGCTAAGTCACTAGGTTTCCCAGGCGGGGCTCAAACTCCTGATGCTCTTGCCTGAGCCTCCCAGAGTGCTGGGATCAAGGTGTGCGTCACTGTGCCTGGCTGCTGTTCTGACCAATCATGATTCCCTGGAGCAGTTTTCACCAGAGCCAGGAAACAGTCCCTATAATGTGATCAGCTCTGCCGACCTCCTGACCACCAGCCAAGGCAAAATCCCCCTGTGCACCCATATTACGCTGTCCCTCCTTTCAGTCTTTGCAAAGCTGCTGCAGCTCTAAGAACTCCTGGGAATATCTAGTCCTTGCCACTCTGGAGAAGCTATTCCTTCTGCCCCGAGTCCCCCACGTGCCCTGCAGCCTCCAGTCAGGAAGCACAGGCCGTGGGATGCCTTGGCTGCCTTGGTCTGAGATCCTGCCTTTCTGGTGCCGAGCCTCTGACCTGAGCGCTTCAGCAGCCTTGCAGTGCTGGGCCACCTGATGCCATGGAGCCCGCCTCTAGCCCACTGGTATCTGGCAGCGCTGGCTGCTAGGCTGGTGCTGGGCACTGCACCATTTCTAGTCCATTGAAGTTGATGACATTGTCCAGGGGAGCAAATGGAGCAAGAGGGCGGAGCACAAGAGCCTTGGAGGCTTTCAGGAGCATCTAGAGAATCACTGAAGGAAGCAGATTTGGCTTCTGGAGGCTGCTGTAATGAATGACCACAATTCAGTGGCTGTGAGACTTGGACCTCATGGTTCTGGGGCGCAGAAGTCTGACACGGGCCTGCAGGGCCGCACTGCCTGAGAGCCTCCAGGAAGCACCAGTTTCCTGCCTTTCCAACTTGCAGAAGCCACCTGCAGGCCACGCCTCGTGGCTTCCTCTGTGTTCAAGGACAGCAGCACAGCTCCTTCCGTCCCCTCCCTTTCTGTCCCTCTGCCCCATAATCACACCCCTCTCTGACTCTGGTCTTCTTGGGGCCCCTCTGCCCCTTGATGACCCTTGTGATTCCATTGAGCCCATCTGCACAATCCAGGATGCTCCCCATTTCTAGCTCCTTAACTTGCTGCTGTCTGCAGAGTCCCCCTGTCACAGTGGCCCTCGCAGGTCCCAGGGGTTAGGACCTGGACATCCTGTTGGGGAGCATGACGCGGTCTACCGTGGAAACTGAGAAGAATGAGGAAGGTAGAAAAGTTGGGAAGCCCGGAGAGAGTGAAGAAGGGCACAGGGGACAGGAAGTGTCACCAAAGCAGAGCCATCAGGAGAGCCAGTGGGAAGTCTGCTACTGGCACAGCTTCTGCAGATTTCTAACAGCAAAGACAGAGAGAGGAGAGAGGGCTGGCACTAGCCTCCCCCAAACCACATTGAGTATCCCTAAAAGGGAGACACACACAGTGCTGCCCAGCACTTTCCTGCTGCAGAGCCCAGCACCTCTGAGAAGCTGGGTTGAGACCCAGGAAACCTGTAGCCTTTCCAAGCTCTCCAGAAGACTCTGTCAGTTTTGGGGACCTTAAAGGGGGCTGGGGTTCTCCAGAGATTCTCTGCAGAGTGCAGATTTGTTCTGAGCTGATTTGGGCAGCTAAACCAGGTCTGAGGAAAAAGCTATGGGCAGGGAGAGCTGGCTTCAGGTGAGGTTTACTCCACTTCGGCTATGGATGGGGACTGGTTACAGAGGGCATCTGCGCAGAGCCTGGGGCCCAGGATTGGGCTCTAGAAGAGGACCCCACGCTGGGTAGAGAGAAGCCTCTGACCTTACCCACTCTCAGATCTGGGGAGAACACATGGGCTGTGCAACCATGGAGGAGTTATCTGACCTCTCTGGGCCTCCATTTCCAGGCAGAGCCTCCTCTCCTTCCTTCTTTTCTGGGTGAAGCAGGAGGAAAGGGCACAGCCTGGTGTTCCTTCACACCAGCCTCCTTTGCCCCAAAAGGCCCTGAGATCTTCTGACTCCCTAGGTTACATTTGTTAACATTATAGCAAGTGTAACCATACTGGGAAGTCTCAAAAATGCTAATACTTTACTTGGGAAAGCTCCAGGAGGTCCCAGCCGAGTCTGGAAGAGCATCCAGAAGGGCAATACTGGGAAGGCTGCCTCCGAGCTGGAGTCCAAATCTACTGCCACATTTGAGTTACGTTATTCCCGGGTCTGTGCCCTTGCTGGCGAAGCACTGCACTGAGGGGAATTTACAGGACACTTAATTCCCAAGGGAGCAGCTAACAAGACCACTACCTTGGGCTAGCATTTGCTGTGGGGCACATGAGAGTGGGCAGCCTGCTTCTGTGGCCCCCATGGATACACGGTGGCGAGTTTATTTTCCATCAGATGTTCTCTTCTAGACTGTAGTTATCTTAAACAAGACAACTAAAACAGTATCTGAAGCTGTTGCCAGGGCAACCCAACAAAAGGACTTTGCCCTCAGCTACTGTATATGGAATTTGTCAAAGGTAGCTGGCACACAGGGAGATGGAAGGGAAGGGAATAGGCTGTCACCCTGTCCTGGAAAGAGGCATCAGAAGATTCTCTCCTGGTTAAAGCAACGTAGGTAGAACAGGAAGTAGGACTTGCGCTGTGCAGTAAAAATTCACAAATGTAGGGCTGGGGATTTAGCTCAGTGGTTCCGCTGCTTGCCTCGCAACCACAAGGACCTGAGTTCAATCCCCTGTAACAAAAAAAAAAAAAAAAAATTTCACAAGTGTCAGGTTGAGAAGGTCAAGGGAGAAGCCTTCGCTTTTCTCTCATGCTCTCTGCAGACAGATAAAGGTCTCAACTAAGACCTGTAAAATAGTTGCATCTTAGTATCTTGAAGAACTGGAGCTTATAGTATGCCTTAAGGGGCGGGACTAGGAGGGAAGGCAAGAAATGAAAGAATGCAGCTGGAACATTCTTGGTTGTAAAATACGCACACTGCACTGGGAGTTCTTGACATACCTGACAGCTCTTCTCTTACAAATCAGAGCCTCCAAGAAAGCAGCCACTTGTACTGGGACCAGTGACAGACACCACATGCAACCCGCCTGTGGAATCCATGAAAACACCAAGCCTGATACAGACGGCAGCTCAGGCTACACAGCTAGGAAAGGACAGAACAAGTGGAGCCCCGCTTCCGGTTTCCTCTCAGTCTTTCCAGGGCTGCCGGGCCTTCATCCGTGGGTATCAGTTTACTCTGAAACATGCAGAACCTGGACCAGCTTTCAGAGGACACCCTGTGGGGCGCTGAGCTGTGCAGGCCCCTCTGTATCAATCTATTTTTCTATTTCTTGGAGCCCCACATAAAATTTCTTAAGGAGAAAAACTTGTTAAAAGTTTGAAGATCACCAGCCTAAAAAGAAGTACAGCAGATAATGTTGGTCATTGTTCAACCTTGTGAAGATACTAAACCAGTGAGTAGTGGTGAATTGTTAAAATTCTACTTTTTTATGGGTTTATAGAAATTATATATGTTACCTACTATTTATTTATGATAAGAAAACGCAATGCCCCTTTGTTTACACACAAGCCAATACTGAAGCAAGCAGTGCATTGTGCTGAGGGTCAGAGATGAAACAGCAGAGCCAGAGGTCTCCCCACCCCAGCCTCACGGGAGACCCGTGCCCCGGGCCAGGCTCACCGAGTTGGTGCCCAGGATCTGCAGGTTGGGCTTCTCTGACTCCAGCAGCTTGGCCACCATCTTGAGGAAACTCTCCACGAAGAGGTTGATGCTCTGGCAGTGGCAGGCCATGAGCAGCTGGTCCAGTGCCTCCATGGCGATGCACACATACCTGGGGAGAACGCACCGGCCTCACCAGCGGCCCCCGGCCCTCGAACTCCCACCACCTGATGGGGAGCCGGGAAGGAGACTCCCCGGGGCTCCCAGTGTCCACACGGCCAGCCCAACACGTGCCTACTGCTGCGGCCCAGAACTGAGAACCAGGAAGAATCAAGAGCTGCAAGGGCGTTTCACAGTGTTAGCGCTGCCTGCCACTCTCAAGACAAGTTCGTATGCTGTATGTGTAATAAAGGAGGAGTGCAAAGATCTGTCCTTCTTTACGTCTCAACCCAAATCACATCTGTCTGTGAATGTTAGGCAAATAGTTAAAGAATTCTTAATTAGGGTCAGGGATTTAGCTCAGTGGTGCCACTGGCTGCCTTGCAAGTGCAAGGTCCTGAGTTCAATCCCCGGTACCAAAAAAAAAAAAAGATAATAGCACAAAACTTTCTTTTCAGTGAACTAAGAGGACCTAGTGGTATAAATAAAACAAATTAGCATATATATTGAAATATTTTAAAAACCATGGAATATATAATTTGGAGGATTATTAGAACTTCTCCCTACTTCCTGTTTCTCTATCTTCTAGCTGCTTGTTTTTTCCATAACAAAGTCTGGCTGAGGAAAAGGAAAGCCTGAGGAAACATGACTGTAGGACAGTTTCTGGAACCACCCCAGTGCCAGACACAAGGCCCCACCCTCCCGGCAGCAGCTGCCCAAGTTTGGACTCCGTGTGGTCCAACTGACTCCGATCTGTCCCCACTCCACAATCCAAACACAGCAAGAAACAGAGTGATGGCATCTTACAAAGAATTTTTTAAAAAGGCATCAGATACTACTTCTTAGGGTCACGTCTTGTGCTAACTCCCACACCAAGGAACCATTAAAGAGAAAAAAATAAAGCCTCTATACTCAGAAATTTTTCTTTCCACTTTTATACAATGTTTATTTCTTTAATCTGTAGAAACTGGGTCAACTATTACTGTTATATTATTATTAAATATTACCAGATAGTTGTCCCTGGGGACATTCACACCCAGATCAAGTGGTGTGTTTGTCTACAGAGCATTTCTCAGACACAAAGGCAGCTCCTCTGTGCTGAGATCTTTGCGGGATTTTTGTGCTCCTTGGTACGTGGGTGCCCCAGCCCGCCCTGCCCCTGGACCCAGGACACATCGTTGGCTCTCCGTCACCCTGCCCTGCACCACCTCTGTCACCCAGAAGACTGGCTGTGCCTTGCAGACCCACTGAGGCAGAGCCTGAGTCCTCAGTCCTCAGGGCTGGGAGGCAGACTGGTCTGCAAGGAACCTTGTCAGGGGACAGACTTGCCCTTCGGAGAAACTTGCCACGATTGGGCAGCCAACGGTGGCGAATGGAAATGAGGGCAGGGAGAGGCCATTCTCCTCTAGCAGAGCATCTGACATCTTTTCATAGGAAGAAATCTGCAACCATCTCACTGTTATCTTACAGAGTTTAAATGAGGCAAATAAAGAAAGGGGTGGGATGGGTGGGGTTAGGCAAAAGAAGGGCCTAGAAGGCCTTCCGAGGCCCTGAGCCTAGATTATTGCTTTTCCTTTTCCTTTCCTTGCAAAAAAATTGTTTCTCAGAATATCCTGGTCAATTTTGATGGGAAATGAAAATTACAGCAGAAGTGAAACTGAAACATAAAGAAGTTTAAGGTCTCGGTCTCCGAACACATCACCCCTTTGTTCTCCATCTCTGATCCAATACCAAGGATGGCATGCCTGTGATTATGAACTTGAACTTTTCAGAGCATCTTGAAAAGTGGAAGCCAGTGGGGCCTTGGAACTCCCAGCCCAATGCTCTCTGTGTCCGTCCTTATTGTCACCTTCCCGAGCGTGGCCCATCTGCTAGGCCTATGTTCTCAGAAGGAACAGAGCATAGGGTTCTTGAGTGATGTCCACGCAGCAGTACTGTGGTCAGAAGGTGATCATCAGCAGAGATCTGATCTGGGGTTGGGTGCTGGAAAGGCCCAGACTAAGGACAGGTCTGGGAATCCAAAAGGCCTACCTGGGAACTTGGAGCAGAGTGGGTCAGGAAGGAGCTGGGCCATGGCGGAGGCAAGGCCTGGTTACAGACCACAGCAGCAGTGGACAACCTGTCTCAGATGAACTGGGAGGGCAGAACCCAAGGGGTCTGGCACCAACTGGGAGCCATGGAGGACACGAGGCAGGTTAAACAGGAGGAAGTCAAGGCCAGGGGCCAAAGCAGAAGGAGGTCATGACCACTAAGAATGCCAGGGACCTGGTACTGGGCAGAGGCAAGAAGTACCTTGCATGGAACCTCAGAGAGGTGCTCAGTCAGGGGCATCCCTAGAAGATGGGAGGTTTGGGACCTCCAGGGTAGGTAGGGGTGGGGCCCACTAGCGGGGAGCCAGACTTAGTTGGATAGGAAGCCAGGTCCAGGGCCAGGAATTAGGATCAGCAGGCAGGAAGAGGGGCGTAGCTTTGGCAGGGCCAGTCATCATCCAAGAATCACTCAAAGGACCTCTTATTCTGGGCAGATTAAATTAAGATTAAATGTGCCCGGTCAGCCCACTCCTGTACAGAACCTTCTGGGGCCCTAACTCTTGCCCGTCCAGTGGGAGTCTGCAGTGTGCTTGTCTGAAGGAGCAGCCATCCTCCGATCAGCCTCAGGGTCCTTAGGTTGGAGCAGCTTCACCCTCCCTGGCCCTGGGTGTCTCCATCCCTGGGGCTCAGACTGGGCCAGGTGAGAGCTCAGAGCACCGAGGATCCTGACGACACCTGACGTGGTATCCTGTGTGCTGTGGTCAGGGCTTGGTGGCCTTGTGGACTGAGCTGTCTCACCCAGCACTGCTGTCACTTTCCCTGCTCCCCAGTTTCTGGGGCATTTCAGTACTTGGGCTGGCTGCCAAGGAAATGCACAAAGGTGAAGGAGAGAGATACAGAGCGCTTCATTTTTGCTGCACTGCACTGCCCATTCTATTCCATGCCAACAAATGAATGATGCCTGGAGATTCACCCTCACTCCCTCTCTGGCCACGTCTGCTACCCTCTTGATGCCAAATTCCCATGGACCAGGACCCCATCCAACTGGAACAGGCGACCATACGGGGTGGCAGTGGTCAGAAGAGGGTGGTTCTGCCACTGGGACCCAGGCCCCAGGTCCACATGCATAGGTCACAGCATAAACAGACACCTGTGTCACGACAGCAAGAGACAGCCCTTCCCACTGTCTGTACTAAATGCTTTGCTCTTCTGAAGCTGCCATCAGCGGCAAGGAAGATGAAGATGTATGAGGCACTCGGGAAGGAGAGGCACGGAGCGTGAGGACAGAGAACGAGAGATGAGCTGTAACAGCTTTTTCTTCTCCAAATGTTTATGATGAAAGCCCTCCACAAGGCCTCTGGGCTTTAAATACCTACATGCTGCAGTGGCTATTTTTAACAGGACTGTGCCAATTTTGCACTGCCATCCTAAGGGCGGCAGAAGGATTCTAAGTGGCTCTGCTGGCTGCTGGACATTTTTACATAGACAGCCATCACTGTAGTGAGGGCAGGCACAATCAGTATTAAATGTTTCATGTGCTAGCTGCACATTAGCTGTAGGCTCAATCTAGGATAAAGTGACTTTTACTTGCTGGAGTATACTTTATAGTATGTCAAGGGCCTTTACATAATCAGCATGTAGTGTCTAACCTAATTTAATTTTATTGTATAAAATGATCGTGGAAATGTATTAGTTTGCATTCTGCTTTTTACACTAGGGTAGTCTGATTTAAGATTCACCAGGGCTGAGGACACAGTGGCACAGTGTCTGCTTAGTATGAGCAAAGCTCTTAGTTCAATCCCTACCAGGGGGGTGGGTTCTGGGCTTTCTGGACCTCAGCATCTTGCCAGCACCATGTGAGCTTTTTCACTCTAGTTCAAGGCCCTATCTTCCTGGCCTGGAGGGGGTCTTGGGGGGCAGTGGGAGAAAGGAGTTCAAGCAGTGGCTCAGAGAGCCAGGGACGTCAGCCAATCTGTCTGCGGCCAGTTTTGGGGTTTTTTTGGTACTGGGGATTGAACTCAGGACCTTGCACTTGTGAGGTAGGTGGCGGAACCACTGAGCTAAATCCCTGGGCCTGTCTTCGGCCAGTTCTGCAGCAGGGGTGATGGCTGTGGTTGATTTTATCCGAAAGGAGCCAGGAAGGTATAGTTCTGGGCCTGTGAGCCGAAGATCCTACCTAGCAGGATTAACCTGGAAAGACCAGACAGGGAAAATAGGAAGCAGGGAGACCATTATTCCTAAGGCTGCTGTCCTCGTCGGAACAAGTGAGAGCAAGAATCTAAACTAAACAAAAGGCAGGAGCAGTGGGAGGTAGGGGATGGAGAAAAAGACTTGTGGAGAGCAGGACCAGCAGGACTTGGGAATGGCGGCCTGAAATCCACTCAGTGCTTGGCCCTGTCAGTGACGCCGCCAGGGCCATCTCAGAGTTCTCTGGACACTGGGCCTCTATGAACTGTGGCAGGAAAGGGGAGGCGAGCCCCTTCTTCTATTGTGGCAGTAATACAATCCTGGAAGGGGACATCTGGGAAACACAGAAAAAGTAGCTACAACACCCACCCAACAACAATAACGAAGAGAGACCCTGACCGCACCACTCACAAAACAAATCCTCTCAACATTGGGATATATTTTCTACGAACTGCGACTTGTTGTTGAGGCTCACTTTTTAATTTCATTATAAATACTTTGTATATAATTATGCAGCCTATTTTTCATTTCCTCAGGCATTTTTTATTTTAGGTAAGCATTTTTATGAACACCATTTTTATGATTAGGTAACATTTTATCAAATGGTATACACCATAATTTACTGAACTCTGTTCTTGTTGAGCCCTTTATTTCTACTTTTTCATTATTATATAAAACACCATAATAAACATCTTCATGTATAAGGGAAGACTGTATTTAAGACTGATCCCTTGGGATCAGGCAAACAGAAATGGAATCGCTAGTCAAAGAGCATAAAGAATTTTGAAGTTCTTGACACATATCTCAGAAGTGCTTCCTAGAAAGTTTCAACCAGTTTGGACTCTTTCCTCTTTTTTTTTTTTTTTGGTACCAGGGATCGAACTTGGGTCCTTCGCTTGCAAGGCAGGAGGCGGAACCACTGAGCTAAATCCCCAGCCCTGCACTCTTTCTTCCCATATAGAAGTGCCTCCCTTTTTGCCATTTGTGGTTAATTCTGGAAAGATTTGGTTTTGTACTAACTTGATAAGATGAGAGCTTAGCATTTCAAGGCTCACCTCCAAAGACAAGTCTGTTGAATATTATCCCATGGTGGTGACAGCTTCTAGCACCATCTGCAAGCTGCTTATTTGTGATCTTTGCCTCAGACCCCTTTTTTTTTTTCAGACAGGGTCTCACCATGTAGTCCAGGCTGCCCTCAAACTTTTGGCAATCTTCCTGCCTCAGCCTCCTGAGTGCTGGGCTTACAGGCATGCACCACCACACCCGGCCAGACCTCTTCTTCCTCCTACACCACCCCCGAAGTATTTGTTATCCTCTACTAATGTATGAGCTTGAATCCATTGTCTTGTTGTTTGATAATATTTATTTTTCACTTTTAAGATTTTGATTCTTAGCTGGGCATATTATGCATGCCTGCAATCCCAGCACTCGGGAGGTTGAAGCAGGAGGATTGCTGTGAGTTCAAGGCAAGCCTGAATCACAGCTCAAGACCCTGTCTCAAAAAATCAAATAAATAAATAAAATAAAATTTGATTCTTTTTTTTACATCAAAATATTTAAATTTTAAACAGCTAAATTTATTGAGCAGTCATTTTCTTTTGACTTCTTTTCTCTTCCAAACATAGCCTTTCCCTCTCAGAAGATTAATAAACTGCCTGGGATGTAGCTCAGTGGTGCCACTGCCTGCCTCCCAAGTGCAAGGTCCTGGGTTTGATCTCCAGTACCAAAAAAAAAAAAAAAAAAAAGAAGATTAATAAATAATTTCACTGACGTGCACTTGGAGCCCCTCCTTGGGCTGCCCCGCTCCTCAGTGTGTCAGTCACGCAGGCCGCAGGGTTCCCCCGGCAGCGCACGCCCGCCCAGCCACTCACCCGTAGCGGTGCCGGCCCACGTCGCGGATGAGCCTCTCGGAGAGGTAGGCCCCGATGCGGTCCAGCTTCTCCGGGGCCGAGAGGGCATAGAAGGTCAGTTTCTCCATGTTGGTCTTCACCAGGCCATCCTGCGAGAGAGAGGGTTGGAATTCGCCGTGGCAGACTGTGGAGGAAGGGCTTGTGCAGGGAGGTAAACACCACCGACCGAATCAACACTGCCACAGGCCCGGGACCACCAGAACCATGCTGGCTGTCAGACTCAGCCAGGGAGGCCCCTTCCCCTCCCAGTCAGCACTGCTGCCACAATGAGTACATAAGAACAGTAAGTGCAGAAATACAGGCATACGCGGGTATGCAGGTCCACGTGCGAATGTGTGTGCGGCTGAGTGTGCACACACGGGCATGGGTGTGGGGATGAATAACGAGCCTTCGTTAAAAGCCACTCAGTTAGGATGTGTTGGAGCCGAGTCATAAAGAAGGGGCCCTGCAGCCGTGGGGAATTCTCCCCAGGTCTCAGATATATGATTGTCCATCAAGAAGAGACCACAATTCCCAGAGAGCAAGTCAGGGACGTCAGACCACAGCCCGTAATGCAGCCTGGGCCTCCCGTGCGGTGCGTTCACACCAGACGCCAGCAGCTCCCAGGGGCGCCTGGGGAGACACCGGCCTCCTAGCCAAGTGCAGCCAACCTGGAATCTCCTATCAGCAGAGGCAGCGCCCAGGGGGCCTCCCCGAGGAGGAAGAGGCAATGCACCCAACAAACTCCCAGCCTTCCCCGAAGCCTGACTGTACCACACACCCCCAGCCTTTGAGTTGCTGCAGCCAAGCTTTCGGGGGCCAGGGCCCCGACATGCCCACAGAGGCCTGAGGGGTGACAGTCGAGATGCCGCCAGCTGTGTGACCTACCTCGGGATCCTCAGGGAAGATGTTGTCAACCAGCCTCTTGTACCTTGGGCGAAGGGCACCACAGCAGCCACACACACCTGGAACGGAACCAAAGACATCCGTGAGCAAAGCCCCTTGGTCAAGCGGAGGAGGCCTAGACACCAGGCCAGGGCCAGCACAGCCCAGGCAGAAAGCAGGGCCTCGTCCTTCTGGTCCGGGTCTCCCACTGCCATGTTGTGGCAGGCTAGCCTCACTCCTTTCCTGGGGGACATGGCAGTGGAATGTGCAGGGGTGCAGCCCGGCCTTGGAAGAGCACCAGGTGGGGCGAGGCTCCGTGGGTGGCTCACAGTAAGGCCATGTGCACACTGGCCCCAGTGCACACGTGCGTGTACACACACACTCACACACACTTCTGGGACAGGACTGACTGTGCAGCTGCCTCTTGCAAGTTCAAGTCCTGGAAAGAGGGACACAGCACGAAGAGGGGCGTAGGCCCTCCGACTCCTCCCTCATTTGCTCCCAACCTTCCGTCTCTGTGCCTCAATGTCCCTTCTTGTGACCACTTCCAGGGCAGAATGTTATGTGAAACTCTAGCGAGTTAAGGTGAGCATTACTGTTAGCATCTGAAACAGTATTTTTAATGCAGCACGACTGTGATATCTGACAAGTGCAGTGTCTGAGGGCTAGGCCGGGGCCAGGGCCATCCAATGCATGGCTCTCCAATGTGCAAAATGAAAACCTAAGGACAATGTAGCACGTTGGCATGGAGCTAAATTATTCCACTGCAATGGCTGAGATGAATTCCTTCTGGATCTTTGGTGATGGCGATAGGAAATTATTAATGATAAAAGGAACCTGGCAAAATAACTCTAGGTGTAACCATAGAAAGTTTAATAATAAAGGAAACCCAACATCTGGGAACAGCTCTCCTTCAACCTCTCTCCATGCACCCTGCCCCCCAGCATCCTGTCCACCACCCACTGCAGGGTGCAGGCAGGGAGGTCAAAGAGAGGCCTGGGAAAGCCTATCCTCCAAAGAGAAAGGAGAGCTCTTCACCCCTCCAATTCCCAGAGAATTCTGTTTGTAGAAGTGTTCTACCTGAAATCCAAATGTGCCTGTGGGTCATTGAGAAAAGAATGAATTCCTTCAGTGGAAATTATTTCAACCACACAAGAGCTATACACCAGCGAGAAACAGCTTGGGGTGCTCCAGGTGGGTGAGGGTGTAGGGTCCCTGCCAGGAGGAGGAAAGAGAAGCTCTGTGGGCTCTGGGGCAGATGTGGGGATTAGGAATGGGAGCCTCTGAGATACCAAGGGCACCCAGGGCCTGGGCACTGAGCATCCAGTAGTGACCTGCGACCCCGAAGCCCCACCACCGCTGCAGGGAGGCTGTGTGGCCCTCAGCTTCTGCCAGCCTCAGGCTCCTCTGGCTGCCCAGCCTCCGGGTCTGGGTGGCATCTTCTCCTCCCCACCTTATTCCCTGGCCCCTGCTGGGAGAAGGTGTTGGGGTCTGTCTGGGTGGCACCTGGGTTATACCTCATAATGAAGGGATAGGCAGAGAGAGAGAGAGAGAGAGAGAGGGAGGAAGAGAGACAGAGACATACATGCACAGAGAGAGGTGGTCCCCTTTGGGACTCAAGCCCAGGATATAAGCCTGTGGCTGTCTTGTCCCCTACCTGATGTGGTTCCCAGGATGCTTTCACCTAGTGCCCAAGTGGAACATAAACCAACTTGTTTAATCTCTACAACAACTTTACTGCATGGGTACTGAACATCCCCATTTTACAGATGGGAAAATCATTGTATTAAGGGGTTAAGTTACCTGCCAAGAGCCATACAGTTCTAATAAATGGCACACCAAGATTCGTACCCTGAAAAGGAAACTTGAGAGGCCATGGCGTGCTACACTGTATCAAGGATGCACAGGATCCCAAGGGCAGCACATTTCAGACCAAGCATGCAGGTGGGTGCCTGGAGCTCTTGGTCCTTCGGTTTAGGTCCGAGGAGCAGCCTGAAGCTCCAGATTCCCACTGGGCCCCAGGTGCAGCAGACACCCTGGCCAGTGGCCACACCTGGAGTCAGCAAAGCCAGGACATGGAGACCATGGGGTTGGGGTCAGGAAGGCAGGCTGAAAACGCAGCCCTTCCAGTTTCTCACTGTTGACTGAATTACTAACCTAAATCTCCATCTCCTACATATAAAGAAAAACGGAGATGATCATGGTTCCCACCCAGGGATTACAGAGGGTGAGACCCACTGCCAGGTCTGCCTTTCCCAATTCTCTGAAGGAAAGACATGGAAGACTAGCTGAGGGCCACATGGCGCAGGGCGAAGAATTAGGTGTCTTCTAGGGTAACAGGGAGGCCTGGCAGCCTCCTGTGGATGCTCCTCCAGAGGCGGGATTCCTGGTGGGGAGCTGCATGTTGGGATGGAGGCTGGAGGGGGAGGCAGAACCAGGGAGGACTGGGCCCTGAGAGGAGCAACAGAAGAAGCAGGACCCGGAGGACGGGGATGCAGGGGCATGTTAGATGGCAACACCCAGCAGACAGCTGGCGAGGAGGGTGAGGGCTCCCCAAAAGGACCAGGCCTGAAGCCCCAAGGTCCCCCACCTCTGGACATGACCACTGCTGCTCACTGCTGATTCACTGTCTATAAAGCTCTAAAGCAAATGTTTGATTTAGTTTGCTTTATAATCTCGAAGTTAATGTGTCTAACCTCTGCAGTAGTAATCAACCTTCTGACACGACCAGAGACTACGTAGGGACAGAGGACAAACTCCTGGGCCCTTCATCTATTACTCATTTAAAGCATAATTTGTGGAGTTTTTTCCAAGGCAAGTGGGGACTTAAAAAGCAGGTTTTGCTTAAAAAAAAAAAAAAAGTGACTTCACTTAGGCCTCTACCTACCCGACAGGTGACTTAAAGATCTCCCTCCTTTATGACCTTACCTTTGGGTCAGACCCTAGCTCAGCTTGGCACATTGGCCTGCTGATCCTTAAGGGAGTATCTGCCCAAAAGTTGCAAAAAGGTTGCTTAGTCCTGAATTTACATAACCTGTCTCACTCCTCTTCAAGACAAGAGATTTTCAGAGACATTCAACTACCAGTGAACACCCGGAAGTCCCCAGTCGTTACCCTAAACGCATGGGCACCCCGGACTCCAGCAGAGCCACAAGACAGACTGCCCCAAGCAGAAGCAATCACCGCCTGGAGACCGATGTCCTCCCGAGCAGCACGGCCTTCTCCCGGGGGCCGCCTTTCAAAACCAGAACTGAGATAACGCCAACCTCCGCCAGCTGCCTCTGCTGACCCATGAAGGCTGGCCTCACCTCTGTGAGCAGGCCAGCCCAGTCCTTGTCTTCAGAGCAGTGTCCCCATCAGCTCCTTGAGATGAAGTCCCTTCCCCGTTTTCTCTTACTTTCTAACTGCCTATGCCTCTTGCCGGCGTGTTCTGAAATTCTTTTTCTGTGACAAGAGTCAAAAACCTTTCCCGTGGACTGAGTCCAGGTCGCCATCTCCTCCCTGGGGGAGCTCTCGACTCCATCTGGTAATGTTTCCGCTTGGAGTCTAACAGCAAGGGCTCCCTCACCCCGAGCCCTCTCTCCTGCAGCAGAGCAGTCCAGCACAGGGACGGTACAGACAGGGACAAGGGTTGGGAGGTCCAAAGGGCAGCAGACGGGAGGGCCTGGAGGCGGGGGAGACCCAAGGCTGTGGGCACAAGATGTTCAGGTGGCAGGGCCGGGCACCGTGGAGGTGAGACACCTGCCGAGCCTCCCAAGGGCTCCACTCGGGACCCTGCTCTCCCTCCTTTCCCTCGCCAAGTCCTTTGTGCGGCTGGCGTCAGCCCATCCAACCTTTTACCATCGCTGGTCAGGCCGTTATTTCAGAGACCCACCCCCACCCCAAACTGTATATTCCTAAGGTCTCGGGCTCTTCCGGCCTCGCCTCTGTACAGTATCCTGAGCCCAGCAGGACTCCGGGACATGGGCACCACACGTCTCTTCAGCTGCCTTTGATCAGTGTTGACACCCAAGGCCACTGATTTCCTTTCAATAAACATCAACTCCATTATCCCCCTTCACCAAGAAAAATGTCTTTTTGCTCAAAATAGTTCGTATTTATTTTCACAGCTTTACAAGCTCCCTGTAAAGACAAGGGCTGGACTCAGTTATTCCTACCAAAGCAGATGGAATTCTTTTCAAACAATTTACAATAAAATTAAGCCACTAATGGCCAATTTGAATGAATTGGAGGAAATGGAACAAAGTTCAGAGAGAAAGGCGTATCCACCTCCATCCAGGGCCTCCGATGAGGACCAGACCCCGTGGTGCACTGACACTAATTGAACTCCAGCAGTCTGCACAGCACTTGCTGGGCAGTGGGCAGATTTGGCCCTGAAGGAGCTTATTCTCTGAGGAGCCGAGACCCACAGGCATGTACAGTTGGTAATGTGTCACAGGGAACCCAAGGAGTCCACATAACTGAAGAAATCTGAGCCGGGTGAATCTAGGCAGGCTTCCTGGAAGAGGCGAGACCTGAGCTGGACTCCCAGGGATAGACAGTGCTGGTGAGTCCTGGGGAATCCATGGGCCACAAACAACTGGTCAGTGGAGCAACACTTAAGAAGACCGAAAAGGTTCCCCCTCCTCTTTTTCCCCAGCTTCTAATTTAAAAAGAAATTCACGCTCCCTGGGATAAATTTGCAAAACAAGGGGAACAAAATGTATATACACATCACTTATAACCACATCTTTCAGAAATAACTATTAAAATTTTAGTGTTTTTGCGCTAGTGTTTTGTTTCTGTGTTTATACATATTTTAAAAATATATGGCTAAGCCTGGTGTGGTGGAGCACACTTGTCATCCCAGCACTGGGGAGGCTGAGGCAGGAGGATCGGCATGAGTTGGTGGCCATCCTGGGCCATATAATGAGTTCAAAGCCAGCCTGAACTACATAGTGAGACCCTGTCTCAAAAAAAAAATGTGGATAAAACTGTGATCATACAGGATATTAAAAGTAATTTTCTTCTTTTGTGTTTACCTTCTGTTTTTCAGAACTTCATTTTAATGGTGACTCATTATTCCACTTTCAGCCAGACT